ACTGATCATAGCAAAGAGGGGAAATACCTCCAACTATGTGTTATCCCACATTATCTGAATGATATCGACCTTCAAAATAAATAAGACATTCGTTTAATAAGCAGAGATCATATAGACCAACTGAACATGATTTATGGGGATAAAAAATTCAATTAATAAGCCATTTGATTTGGCAATTGGACTCCAATGACCCAACACAGCAGAACAGAATAACTGTTTATATTCATGGACTAGAGGAGCAAGCATTGAGTTTGGCAGTATGAGAAAGAGGAAGTGATGTAAAGAATGCAACTGCAACTGAACACACTGGAATACAAACAAATGAGTGATAACAGATCTTTCCTAATTGAACTCAAGCTTAAGCTTCATTTATTGCAACGGTGACACTGAGCTTTTGAGAACAAAAAGCTCTTTGTCAAATGTTTTTAAAGGTGGCCTGGATTATATCTATGCTTAAAAAATATAAGGGATTATTTAGCATTGCTCGCTTGAGATGCTGTGCAACAGAACTTTATGGCTACGACATTCTCCCGTTTACAGCTGCACACTGACTATTTTTTGCACCAGAAAAATGTCCAGCATGTAACAGTAGCACATTTATTGGTATCAGGTGATTTTTGCGTGCACATGTAATGATCTCTAAGCAAACAGTAAACAGCAAACAGCTTTCTTAAAGCGAAATGAATGAGATTTATGAAGCTGAACTCCAACTCTGTTCAGGTTTTCCTATCTGCACTTGTAAAATAATTTCACATGGGTTCAGATTTGTGTGCGAATTGGAGCATGTATTTATGAGTGCTCAATAGTTAAACACAAATCATTCTACAGATTTATAAATCTTGTTTATGCTTGTGGATCATATCATAACTAACTGAAACTAATTTAAATCCATAATCAAACATTGTCCTTGATGTGCAAATTATGAGCGTGACAAGTTATCAGTGAATGTGTTTAATAGCAATGCTTATTTTACTGATGGGCATAGGTGTCAAAATCCAAACAGATTGGACTGGATCAATTGGACTGAATTAAATTTTAGCTATAAGTCATTGCAATGCAAATATTTCCTGTAGGTTTTTGTTTTTACAAACCCTGGTGTATTTACTTGAGGTATTCCCTTGTAGGGTTTATAATTAACAATGTTATTTGGTAAACAGTTACACATTTTAACACATTTTTCAGGTCAACATTCTTGAATCAGTAACGTTCATATGTGCATCCACCTTCAGCCAACTGGAGTATGTGTTAATGTCTTAGACAAACCCACTCTTTGTTTTCCCTTCTTTTACATCTACACTATCTACGCCTCCTGCTTTCATCTCCCTCTCACATGCACACCAAAGGTTATAAAGGTAATTGCTTTCTGTAAACGCTTCAAACAGAGCCGACTCAAACAACACTGCTGTTGTCTGTCTCAGCTAAAATGTCTCAAGATTATTCTTATTTTGGATTCTCTTATATAAACAGAAATGCAGAAAATGATGCAAAAAACACCACGGCTCTTAATAATGCTGCAGATATCTCTGTTATTGTGGTGTACTTCCTGGTCGTCTTGGCAGTTGGAGTTTGGGTAAGTTTTGCAATCACTTTTAAAACCAATTTCTCTGCAATTCCTCAAAAATTTTATAAACTGTTTACAGCTAAGAAGATTTAGTATAGTTTGTATGTTAATGTGTCCTAATGTGTCTTACAACCCTGATTCTAAAAAAGTCAGGACACTGTGTAAAACGTAAATGAAAGCTAAATGTAATGATTTGAAAATCTCATAAATGCATATTTTATTTCTAGTGGAAATTTCAAATTAACCTGAAAAAACATGCATCATTAAAAAAAAAAAATCCTAATTATGAATTGGATGGAGGAATTTTGTCCCATTTTTGTCTAATAATGTAGGATTCTACCTGCTCAACACTCCTGGGTGTTCCTCTTATTTTTGCCTAAATGGTTTGAGTTAGTGAAAGGTCTGGATTAAGGCCAGGGCAGATCAGTCTTTTCTACATCGAAGATATCCTGTTGTGATAGATGCAATGAGCATTGTCTTGCTGGATAATACAATGTTCTCACTGAAAAAGATGTCATCTGGATGGGAGCATATGTTGCTCTAGAATCTGCACATACAACACCTTGCAGCATTAAAGGTTCCTTTACAGATGTGCAAGCTGCAACGGCATAGGAAGTAAGACACCCTCATACCGTCGAGTGACTGAGTGCTGTTAACAAGCCATGTTTTTCTTCTCCTCTTTAGTCTGGATGTCTTTGTTCCTTCAATGTAGTCTGTTACAGTTTTGCGGATGGATTTTCTAAAACGTGCTTTTGTCCTGTTACAGTCTATGGTCCACACTAACAGATCCACTGTAGGTGGCTTCTTCCTTGCAGGGAGGAGTATGGTATGGTGGCCGGTGAGTATCTTTATATTTAGAATTAGATGCTTTACAGTATTCTTCCTGCATTTAGAGCCATTAACATTTTTTTTATTGCTGTGTAATAAAATGTGATGTAAGCTATCATAAAAGAAGCATTTTATGGCACGGTGGTGGTTATCATGGTCATGTCACAGCGAGAACGTCCCCAGGTTCAAATCTTGGCATGCAATTTAGGATAGCTGATCATTCTACATGGACCATGGATGTGAGATAGATAATGTGCTGTATGAATATGTGGTTAAAATATGACTGCAAGTCTAAAGCATGTTGAATGCACGGGTAGGGCTGGGCGATATGGCCTAAAATTCATATCGCGATATAATTTGAAGCATGTGCGGTAACAATATATATCGTGATATATTCTTTTCTTCTGTATAACGTATTTTCCACACTATAAGGCACACTTAAAATCCTTTCATTTTCTCAAAAATCGAGAGTGTGCCTTATGTATGAATTCTGGTTGTGCTTACTGACCTCGAACAGATTTTGGCGTGCAGAAAGGCTGCTGTAGTGAGGAGCTTCACGGAGTAATCTGGGTCCAAAACTCCATCGTCTTCAGGTCCCAAAGTCAAATGAACACTGAGAGTTAAAAACGGTCTAAATTCTTTAATCTGTAATAAAATCATCAGCGTTGCTGCTTTATCGGGTGTAACAATTAAGTTTAACATCCAGGCATTCATGAAAACAGAATTTATTAAATTTAATGGAGTTAGAAGTTAGCAGGAAGTTAGCCCGCTAGTTTCCACCTAAACATGACATACCATGTTCTGACTGAGAGATTTTTGAAACGAATTAAAACGTACAGCTCTGCTATCACTTCCGACATAAATAAAGACAGAAAACTAAACAGCAGTGGTGTTTGCAGGGTTACTGAAGTTGGACTACCTGGTATATAATGTTGTGCTACGTGATTGCTAGCGACATAGCTATGTTAGCATAACATTAGCACAGTGAAGCTGGAGGATGAACGCCAACTTTTTTTTTCCACTCGATAAAAGTTAACGTGAGGGATTCTGGTGGTCAGGGACAAATGCAATCGCATAGCAGGATGCTGTACACGGGGCAAACTTCAGTCAGGAGAATAACTGAGATTATTCATCCACAATACGAGGTTAGTTATTAATATACTGCAACAACATGGGAATAGAGCAGCTGCGAGAGAATTCAACATTAATGAATCAATGATACGGAAGTGGAGGAAGCGCAGTTTTTGTCTTTGCCCATATTTCAAAAGTGCTTCATCTCTTTGCTATGACCGTCGGCATAATTTGCAGATGATAATGGTTGTAGCCGCTGCGATGCTTTCAACCAAAACAGGCGTAGCTTGATGACATCATCAACATGCACTATTGCGATAGAGCGTCAAAATCTCTATCGTTGGCCAAATTTATATCGTTTCTATCGTATATCGTTTATATCGCCCACCCCTATGCACGGGGTTTTTCCCAGGCACCTGGTTTCATCTCATAACCATAAAAAATGCATGTTAGGTTCATTAGTGATTCTATACTGACCGTGGATGTGAGGTCGATAAATGTGATGCATGATTGGGTTTGGTTACTAGTCTAGTTTGGAATGGAGATTAAGAACAGTAACGTCCCATATAAATATGATTTATGGAGTTATTTGAGGTTAACAAACTATCTTAATTACTTCTGAGTAATCAAATGTTTAAATCATTTAATATTTACACAATATACTGAGAATATGGGCTAGCATAAAAAGTAGGGGTGGGAGTCGATTAAAAAAATTAATCTAATTAATTAGAGGCTTTGTAATTAATCTTGATTAATCACATTTAATCGCACAAGAAGTGCAAATGTTTTTTAATTTTAAAGGGTTTTAGTGGACGACAGAAGAAATATTAGACATTGACATGAATATTGTCAACTGAAGCTCTTTTAATTTATGGGAAAAAAGGATTTAAACTGTATTTAAATGCAAAACAGAAAAAATAATAATATCCTTGGCCAAAACTGGACACACTTAAAAGTAGAGTTATTTTAAGTACTTTAAGTACATTTTTCAAAAAGGTGTTGTCTTTAAATAATAATAATAACAATTTCAACATAAAGTGGAGTTTTAATTCTTTAAAAAAAAATAAGGCAGAAAGGAGGATTATTTGACCAGCTTCACCTTTAAACTCTGAGTAACCTTAACCAACATTATTTTGTACATTAGGCTAAAACAGTGTGGTCATCGAACATTTTAGTGCAAAAAATAACAAACTCACTGGACTCACAATACCTCCATGCTTATTTACTGTCAACCTCTATCAGCCAGTTACTTAGAAAAAACTAGCCTGTTTACTTTTTCAGAGCTCAAAGCAGTTCTCTTTTTTGTTACAATGTAACCTGGAAGTGAGAACATTCTCTCACATGGGATAGAAGAGGCAGGACTTATCAAATACTTGCAGGCCAGGACTGGGTTCATCCCTGCTCGACCTGACCACCAGTCTGTCTCGCTGATGGTGATTTTTTGCTCTGTACAAACTCAGGGCCCTGTTACACAGGGCTTCCTTATCTGAATCTGGAGCACAATTTCTAACGCCACTGATAGTGGTCTACAGTCCAGCGATCCATTTTGCGAGAGAATTTGTACATTTGTCCGATGTTGACTTACTAATTTTGGTCCCGAAACCAGTCATTTCATCAATTTTGGGCTGCTGACACCTTTTGTTGGTAGTCGAACTGCTAGCGCTAACAGCTCCCACGGTTTCTGTGCTCGCTGCAACATGTTTTTGCATTTAGATGGTACCGTAAGGTTGAAGTGCTTCGGTGGTATGCAAAGTCCCTTTTGCGCTTTCTTCTGATTCTTCCATTTTTGTAACCGTGTGCATCAGTGTAATTGGTATACAAGGAAATCGTGCATTGGTAAAAGTTCCCCTTTGATTCCACTTTGAAATTAATTAATCGCAATTCACAAGTTAAATTCCCACCACTAATAAAAAGCATAACCAAGTTGATTCTTGAATGAATTCTTAAGTCTCCTAAATTTACAAATGGACCTACTGACAGATTGAACTGTGCTCTCCACAGATCGGAGCATCGCTGTTTGCCAGCAATATTGGCAGTGTCCATTTCGTAGGAATTGCTGGTACTGGCGCAGCTGCAGGAATAGCCATTGGTGGATTTGAATGGAATGTGAGTAACTGTTCCTGAGCCACTGATCCATTATCGCTTGTTATATAGAAGAATTTCTCACCTCTGATACTGTATCAGTTCATGTCAGCTCATAGTTTATTGATTTTTATGAGCGCTCCATTGTGCAGAGGAAAAAAGGATGAAAGTAAACAGGGTTCCTGATTATTGCATATTTGTGTGTTTCAGGCTCTTTTTGCGATTGTTATCCTGGGATGGATCTTTGTGCCCATCTACATTAGAGCTGGGGTAAACAAAAGCCCTCATATATATATATATTTATTTACCCTTTCTAAATAAGCAATGATTAATGAGTAAAATCTCATGTGGGTGTATTTAGATCATCACCATGCCTGAGTACCTGAAGAAGAGATTCGGAGGACAGCGCATTTGCATTTATCTCTCTCTTCTCTCCCTTGTCTTATATGTCTTCACCAAAATTTCAGTAAGTTCCTGAAAGAAAAGCAGATAATATTTCTATTGTACCTGTTTTGGATGATCCTAAATGAAATCCCACTTTTTTTCCCTCCCCATTCAGGCAGACATTTTCTCGGGTGCAATTTTCATCCAGCAGGCCTTTGGGTTGAATATCTACCTCGCTGTTATTGCACTTCTGGCGATTACGGCACTGTACACTGTCACAGGTTTGTACACGGGGAAAAAAATCATTTCCTATTTTACTGAACTTACAAACAGACATTTTCCTCATAAACTACCCAAGAAGTAATATCTAGGCCGTATATGGAGATGTAGACACACGCCACACGCGCACACACACACACACACACATACACACACACACAATCGCTCTCTTTCTTCATTGTTGGTTTATCTTTGCTGAGTTGCTGTGGTTGATTGCCCATGGACTATGATAAGCCTGAATTGGCCTTCTGTTGCTGTTTTGTAACAACACATCCACAATTACAAGTTTTAAAGAATGAGTAGTTTCATAATGACATGATGAGTTTATTGAAGAGGACTTTTTATGTATATTAGTGCTGATAAAATCTCAAGTGATTAAGTGAAGATTTTCACAGACTGATAACATCATATATTTTATTCCAGGTGGACTGGCAGCAGTGATCTACACGGACACTTTACAAACCTTTATCATGCTTATTGGATCATTCATTCTGATGGGCTTTGGTAATATGAAATATTTGAAATGAAAGTATTTGTTGGAAAGTTACAAAATAAATAATAATGTTGATCTAACTTGCACATGATTTTCCTCAGCTTTTAATGAAGTGAAGGGATATGAAAACTTTGAGAAACTCTACATGCAAGCAATCCCCTCAATCACGGGTAACATCAGTGCAAACTGCTATGAGCCCCGGCCAGACTCCTTCCATCTCTTCAGGGATCCAGTTACAGGAGACCTCCCATGGCCTGGTCTCGTGTTTGGACTCACTATTCAGTGCATCTGGTACTTTTGCACTGATCAGGTGAGTTAAGCAAATAAGCATTGGGCAGCTCAACTGCAGTTTTTAGCAACCAGTCTGTAGTCAAAAACCGAGACAAATTCAACTGATTGCCTCGGTGTGTTCATATATTCATACTAAATTCTACTATTTCTATATGAACAGATCAATTGAAAGAAATTCATGTTCAAGGTGTTGAAAATGCAGACAGATTCTTGGGTCCATCTATGAGTAAACAGGGTGAAGCAGAAATGAGGAGGACCTGGGTTGCATGAATAGAAATCATAAAGGCAGAATGACAGACAAGCACTGAGATTTAAAGTATGCAGAGAGGGGAGTAGCAAGGATAGTATGGCGTTACTTTTGTGCCACTATTCTGAGCGCACGTAAAAAAAAATTGAGCGCACATAAAAAGATTTTGCAAGTGCAGGTGATGCATTTTGGGGAGAAATTTATTTTGAGCGAAGAAAAGCTAAATTTGAGTGAACAAAATTCATTGCTGCGTGCAAGAAATGCATTTCAGTGTTTGCTATTGTCCACACACACACACACAATAGCAGCCACTCTCGCTCGGTTTTTGCATCATCGCAATGTGTTGCTCGCACTCTCAACATTTCTGCCCGTGCGCGTTCAAATCTTTCTGTACACCATTATATTTGTGCCACAAAACCAGCCAATCACAGACTTGGATGCAAAAAAATCTGATTGGCTGTTTTGGTCTGGAACCTGGAAATGGAACCTGGGAATCAGCTGGAAATGACGAAATGCAATATCCCAGAATGCATTTCGTCCAAAACTCAAACGAGGCAGTGGTGGAGGAACACAGAGTTTGAAATATTACTCTTTCTGATCACAAAATAAACTTTTAAGATATTTTCAATCGAGAATTGTGCTGTGTAAACTTCAAATATCTGCTCGATTTATCAAGACATCACATATTTGCATAAGTGCTCTAATGTTTTCGGAGATGCCTGTTACCCACTAGCTGACCGCAGAGCTGGACTGGCCATTGGGCATACTGGGCATTTGCCCCATGGGCCATGGGAATTTTTCATTTTTATGTTTGTTTGTTTGTTTTTTTTAAAACGGTATAAACAATGAAAGGTGGTGGATTAGCCAATTGGTCATGATCATCTCTGGGCTGGACCAATTACAATACATCAGTATTGAGGGGAAAAGGAACGCGATTCGTCCCGGACTTCAGCTAGAATGAAAAAAAAAACAAAACACAAAGCTGGAGTTATTTTGTGTTTTTGCTGCACAATTGAGTGTTCTTCTCTCATTCTCTCCCCTCCCTCTCCTGTTGCTACTTCAACCATGAAACTGATCAATGATCAGCTGATCGGGTTTTCTCTCTTGTTTATCGCCCACTTTGCGCCAGAAAGAGGAAACCAGCGGATGTCGCGCTAAACAACAGCCGCGCGTTCAAGCTTGATCAGCTGTTGTTAGAATTTATTTAATATTCATTTCTAGTATCAGCTGATGTTTGCTGGAGCCACAGCTGTAAAGCTGCTGGTCATGATATCGGTTTGGAAACATCCTCTGCTTCACTGAGACATGGCTGAACCCAGCAGTGCC